GTCACCTGGTAAACTGTCATTTGAAATGCCTTTTCTATAACAGTAAGCTAGGGCCTTAAAATTCCGCAGTCCACAAGGATAACATAGGACAGAATACGAACTCAAGTTATCTGGACAGCTAAACTCTCCCGATTCTAGTCTAGCAATACATTCCTGTTGTAGTTCTCTCCAGGATTTGTTGTGAAAGTTCAAATAATTCTGCAGTATTATTCAAAAAGTGAAGACACAAGAACATTGTTAGCCAGAATATAAATCAGTAGCTGTGTGTACTTCTAATGCTGATAAGGTACTTTCTATTGAAGATTGAAAGAAAAGTTTAACCACATGGAATAATGGTACAATTTAAAAGAAAATCTTGAATACAAACAAGTACATTTTCTTAGATTGATACATTACAAGAAAAACAAAAACATTTTACACACTAATTGCTTGGAAGGTAGTTATATGTTCAAAGATTTTAAAATATAATATAAAGATTTTCAACCTTTCTGATGGTTTGCATATTTCACTGCTAAATTCATACACTTTTATAGTCCTTGAAAGCTTGAAAAAGACAAGTTTTGTTTACCAAAATCTGATTTGAACAAAAATAAATTGTTTCTAATGAGAGACTCGCATGTGTGTGGTAAACTAACATGAAACAGTAACAAGAACACTGGAAGACAACGCAAGGGCTTTAAAAATGAGTAAATACTGCACATTTATCTTTATACACAAAAACTGCCATTGCAGCTCCATAGTTGTTGTTAGAAAGTGTGTTGACCACATGGTGAATTATCAGGACAACAAGGACAATGTTACTGACATTCTTACATATACATGTGGAGGCCAGTATATTCATTTCATACCAACACCTAACACTACAACTTTATGTTCCCAAAGATAGGGAAACTTCAGTCAAGTGAAAGGGATGGGTTAGTTTTTTCTTGCTAATGTTCACTGTTTTTACTGTAAAGACTTACCAGTCAGTTTTCCAAGCAATGATTGGTTGTGCAACTTCAAAGACTAAACTAAGACCAATTTTTAGAGTCTATACTGATTATACAGTAGAAAACAATCTTTGAATTATGTGTAGCACAAGAACAGACATTCTCTCACTTTGAATGAAAAGGCAAAGCTACCAAACTGATATTTGAGTTTCAGAGAATTTGTGAAGAGCTGTTGAGGTGTGAAATAACCAGTCTTAGAACACCAATCATGCCTCATACTTTAATTAAAGAAACGTCAGATAGGATCAATTGTTGTCCCGTAGAAGATATTTCTAGACAAAGAGTCTTGTTTTAAAATATGCCAGTCTTTTTACAAGTTGCTGTGATATAAGTTATCATTCCTGTAATAATGCACTAAAGGTTTCTTGTTATAAACAACTGCTGAAGTCTTGATAAATACAGCACTGTCAAGTGGTTCCAGTACCAACAAAATTCTGCTCTGACTGAGCCTCATGTGATTGTTACAGTCAGAATGGAAGACACATTCACAGAGGAGAAATATATGTCTCAGTAAGTAGCTTGGTGTATTAGAAACTATACTGTTAATTTATATGTAATACGAAAGAAAGGAAACAAGGCAGGAAGAAGATAAATGAGGATGGGTGGAGGCTGTTAAGGCACACTGCTTGGTATCAAATAACACAGAAGGGTAATACAGTTTCAATACATTAGTGCAATTTGTCATTAGGTGCTGGATGGGTATATTATCTATTTCAGATTTGGGGGGGGGGGTACTAAGATTCAAGATCTGTTTTGTATTTCTCAATTTTGTAATCTGTGGTTATACAACTAGCCATGAATGGTGAATGGTAGGTTAGTTTGGGAAATTGTGGGTGTTATTCCTGCAGTTTGTTTTTGTGTCAATTTTTTTTTTGTTTTAACCAGACTACAATAAATATTGATACATTTGTTACAAATAAGTCTCATACAACAATAAAAATTTCCCCCAAAATATGAAATAATAAATCTGTGGTGAAAGGTTACTATTTCAAGTTGTGTTTTTAATATAAAAACTAGTAACAGTTTAATACTTACTTTAACTCTATGTGTATGGGAAGGTCAAATTGCATTTACCACAACCTTTTTACAGAGTTATATTCAAAATCGTATTAAACAACCGTAACGATGTATGTTAATAAAATTGGCATCAAAACGTAGTCTATAATTCAAAGTTTTAATTTTTTAATTTCAAAAGGAAATTTTTAATATTCATTTTTCTGTATGAAGTATCTGGGCTCTGACTTGCCCATTTTAGATTTTCTTCCTACCCTTACAGGATTTTTTATTGTCCAACTAAATTACAAATACTAACTATAAATACTGATAAGTAAGAATATATATACTCAGAACCTTCAATCTTCTTGCTTTACTAATTGAGGTCATCTATCTGATTATGGACACCAAAACAAAATAAACAATGACGGAATCTTATAAATAATCCAATAGCAGTGTCAAAGAGAATTATTGCCATTTTTTGTTTATATCTTTCAAGCAGCTAACAGAATTTCTTAACCTATTTATAGCTTAATTAGAAATCCAGTTAAATAATAGTAGTTTGACTACATTCTATTTTAGTGCATATTTTTTGTGTTATTTCATTTATATTTAAAATAAACATGAATAATTCTATGGAAAACTAACATCATCACAAAAAGTAGGTTTAGACAGCCAGCTTGTCAACAACAAAAGGCCAAAGTCCAGTTGTAACTACTAATGTTTTTGTTTTCATGTATATTTTGTATTTATTCTTAGAAAAGTAACTAAAATGTAAAAATCAGAAACTTATTAGGTTAGATAAGAAAACAAATGAAAACATGTAAAGAAATTTCTCATGATACTCAATATTCTAGCACATACACATTTCTTGGCATAAGTGTAACTATCATTAACTAAATGACAGCTGATGTAAATGGATAGTAGATTATGCTGGTAAGAATAACTAAGTATAATTATCTGTTATAATATACAGTCATTCTATAAAGAACAAAAAATAATAATTTAGATCTATTTAATATTTTTCAGCTTTCCATTTTACCATACACTGCTGATTTCGATAGAGTTAGTGTTTGAGTAGAAAAAATACAGTTCTGCTACAAAACACTTTTGATATTTATTTTGGGGGTCCTAGAGGTTAGCAAATGAAACAGGAACACTGTAAAGTGAAAAAAAGTATTTCTCTTCTTATCAATGAAGATCTTTTTTACTTGGAATGACTCAGTAAAGGCTTCATAAATTCTCAGACCAATCTTTATTAGAAATACTTTATTAAAAACTATAAATTTTTGTGTATAACAGACTTTCCATGTTTACTCCAATATGTCATCAGTTCTTAAGTCTCAAGCTAGTGTGTATGAATATCTGTGTGGACTGAATATGCATATGGGATTAACAACATATTTTTCAAAATTATGAGTGTTATTTCAATCTATATATATCAGATCGTTAAAAAATGACTTTTAAACCTACCACAAGGATCTGGGATTCAAAACTATTATCATTCACTAGAGTAGGCAAACATTTGTCTCCAAATTGGATATCTGTAAAATGGATAGGAAGTACACTTAAAATGCTATTTCCTTGATTTAAACACACACTTAACAATAAAATATTATTTGATACAACAAGGCTAAACCATATATACAGAATTGAAGCAAATAATTCACACAATTGTATTTGCTAGTAACAATAACTAGATATTACAGACAAGGTATGATGTAGCATTACATACTATTGTACAACCTAAAGAAAAGCATGAATGTAAACAATAAAACCTTCTCAGATTGATACATTACTAAGAAAAATACAAACATTTTATATACTATTGTTTGGAAGGTATATATGTACCAAGAGTTTAAAATATAATACATAGATTTTGGATCTATCTGTTGGTTTGCATATTTCACTTCTAAATACATATTAAAAATGTCTGGAAATAGGTTCAATCTTAATTCAATACAGCAGTTTATTTCATAAAGCAATGGTAAGAAAGAATAGTCTTTGTTTCAGGTAGTAGACAGATTACATAATCGTACATTTACTGAACATATGGAGAACAATATTCTACAGACAACAAACAAACAAAAAAACTACTGTATTGGCCTGATTATAAGGCAATGTTTTTTAATTAATAATTAGCTTGTAAAATTCATAGTCACCTTATAATCGTAACTGATTACAGGCCCCTTCCTCCAACTCTAGCCTGTCTCATTCCTGAATATCCAGATAGCATTCATCTACACATGCATGCCAGATGTTTGCTCAAGGTCATTGCTAATTCTTGCAACTAATCCACCTGCAGGCTGTTCAGATATGGTATTGATTTTGCTGGTGCATTATCAATTTAACGGTGTACATTTTAAATTTTTTAATAATTGTTACTTGTGATTCTCATTTTAGTGATCAACCCTTGTGCAAGAATGAGTGACCATAAGGAGAGACAAGGATCATGAAAATGTCAAATTAACAAAGGATTACGACGGAGTTATGATGCAAATCTTAAAATTATGGTGTTGTGTGTGGCAGAAAAAAACGAACAATTGTATCGCTGCTAGAAAATTTTGTGTAACTGAAAATAATGCGAGGTGTTCGCGGAAACAACACACTGAACTCAATGCACATTCTACAAGAAAGGTATTTCACGGACCTAAAAAAAAGGATGTTATGACACTCAATTATGTTCGAGATCACCCTATAATCAGGCCAATACAGTAGTTCCTTTCAATATATGGTTTGCCTCATCACAGACAATAGCTGGTTAAAAATGAAGTAAATTCTACTTTTTTCCCAATAATCAATGATAACTAAACCAGTCAACAAGTAACTCCACTAAACATGAATTATATGATAACTTATACTGCTTTTTAATAAACAACAGATGCAGCACTCAAATGAAAATATGTGTAAAACATTACACTAGGCCTGTGGTTCTCAACCTGTAGTTTGTGAATATAGTGATCATAAAATTGTCTTTAGTTTGTAAAGGTTCCATGAAGAAAAAAGCAGAGAAGCACTGCCCTAGACTAATGCATTGTTTACTTTCTTTATGTAGTCTTCTTTTTTACTTTCTTTCTAGAACTAAAACAACACAATATTATTTTATGCAAAAAAACAATACATTTAGTACTGTTTATAATAGCCTTCACATAGTGTACCAAATAAATTTTATCAATTATTCTGTGTTGTAGCCCTATCTTTCAAATTTGTTAGCACTGAATCATACAAAAACCATTGTCTTACCTGCAAACTTATTCAAACAACCAAAACAACCTGGTTTTCTACAGACCCAATACATGTGGCAAAAGGGTCTACAACAAAGAGAACCTACAAACAACAAGAATACTTTGTGAAAAAAGTTCAAAAATGTTTACATTTTAAATAAAATATTTTCTTCCCTGAATAACTATTACATTGGTCACTAGACTGATCACATCAATTGACATAATACTGAAATGGAAATTTTAACTATCTTCAAATAAATAGGTTAATAAAGATCAATAAATTTATAAAGTGACAGATGTTTTTATTAAACTAAAAAGGCAAAGATATATGTTTCAAAGAAAAAGATCATTTTTGAATAATCTATAATAATAAAAGGGTGTGTCTGTGACCACCATAATTCCAAAAGGAAAGAACCTAGAAACCTAAATTTTGCACACATACTAAGTGGACCCTGATGATGTACACCTGGGTATTATTACTTATCTACGTGCATGCACATCTTTTTATGAGGCAAAGTAGGGAAAACCCACATAAAAAAGAATATGTGACTACCATGTTTAAGAAGAAAGAGCCTAGAAACCAGAAATCTTGCACCCATACTAAGTGGACCCTGAGGGTGTGTACCTGGCTATTATTACTTATCCAAGCACATGTGCGCATCTTTTTAATGAGGCAAGCTAGCAAAGCAACCACACAGAAAAGAAGTGTGATTGCCATAGCTCCAAGGTGAAAGAACCTAGACACCTGAAATTTTGCACACATACTGAGGGTGTGCACCTGCATTTTACTTATCTTATCCATGTGCATGCACAACTTTTTAATGAGGCAAGCAAGCAAAAAACTACATAGAAAAGAAGTGGTTCCTTATATCACAAACAGAAATCACATAGAGAGAGACACTCGCATGCGCAGTGTGTGCCTGGGCATTATTGCTTATCCACGTACGTGCATGCATGCACATCTTTTTAGTGAGGCAAGCTAGCAAAAAAACCACATAGAAAAGAAATGGTTCCCTCATATTATGAATAGAAATCACACAGACATGTACATGTGTTCATTCACACATGCATGTCTGTGTGACCACCATAGTCCCAAGAGGAAAGAACCTAGAAACGTGAAATTTTGCACCTATACTAAGTGGACCCTGAGGCTGCACAGCTGGGTATTATTTATCTTATCCACATACGCATCCTTTCAGTGATGCTCACTAGCAAGAAACCACACAGAAAAAAAGTGGTTCTTTATATAATAATTTCTAATGTATAAAAAAGCCAGTGCATTTTGGTAACAATGCATTCCAACAATGGCTTTTATGCCATGTTGCTTAGCAAGAAAAGTATAAATGTTATATTTTTATGCTAAAATGTGTTCAAAATACACACACTGACAATCATCTAGAATATATCAATCTAATAACCCAAGCAAAGCCAGTTACTTACACTAGTTTGTAATAAGAGAACAAGAGACATGTATTTTAAGTACAGTGAATTACTTCATTCTTTGACACTATTACCTAAAACTTTTGAACTGACCTATAAAGTAATTAGTAATGATAGCCGAGATGAAACTTTGCATGTTAGGGTAGAAAGTTATACTTATTTTAAGGTTACAAAAAACATTTTTAAATAACTAAAGTACTATTCAAGATCTTTACAGTAATATAAATTGTTTCTCTGTTCATAACATTAAAAAAACCATGTACGATCAGAAAAGACTGGTTTATGACATTAAAAACAATTCAATAAAATCCTAAAGCTTTGGACTGGTGGACATGTTTTTTTCAGGGATAAAGGCATTAACTTTTTCAGCACGGGCTCAGTACCTAGAACCGACGTCATAACCATTTTGCACTTGTTATAGTTCTCATGCTATAACTTTTAAATTAGTAAGTGTATGTTAATGATATTTGGCAGATTATCAGTAAACATTACAATGCTTTCATATATATGAAAAATATCAATTATTTATATTAATTCCTAAGGATTGTTAAGCAATGTTTTTCTCGTGCCTTTTTTTCTTTTTTGCATGTTGCCTATCCAACATGCAAAGTAATTTTTATTTTAAGATAAAAAACACTATTACACATCATAAAAATTTTCAAATTTCACATGCAAAATCTTTATGATGTCCAGATAGTTATCAAACATTTCTTAAGAAAAAATTTTATGTCACATCTGTTATTTTCACTAATAGAATCTCTATATAGGTTCGATAGATTTGATCAGTCTTGTAACCATGATAAAAAATTAAGAAATAAATATAAATTATGATTCTCTTTTTCATTCTAGAATGACAACAGATTATAACCTGAAAACATAAATGTTTAGATAAAATAGCTTAAATCTCATAACATTATACATTTATATGTATTTATTATTTTTATCCAACTGAACTTTTAGTTGCGCCTAGCTAACAGTACAGAGGTTACAATGACACGGCAAACATGCTCTCATGTTTCCGTATCCAATAATATAAAACTGACCTTTAGTCTTAAAAAGTGACCTGTCTTGGCTTTGTTTTACTAGACTACTATTTTGTAAAATACAGTCACATTTTGATTATTATACATTATGTATGTATAATGATTATTGCTATTTTGAAATAAGTTCTTAAAGTTATTTTTCTTAAGATATAGAATAGTAAATAAAGAAGTAAAGCAAACAATTACCTCTTCTAGTTACGATCTTTGCACTCAGTTGGTGCTTGACATAGGTTGCTAAGCCTTTTAAAATTCTGCACATGGAGAATATGAAATGTTATAATTTTTTTTATAGGTTTTTATACACAATTGAAGAACCAAAAAATTATAAATTACTATATCGATACCACAGAATTCCACTATAATTTATCAAGCTTATTAAGCTGTATTTTGTTCTAAAAAAATATGAAATTTCGAGCAGTATAAAGACACAACCCACCTCCTTGAAATCTTAGTTCAAAAGAACGAGATGGCCTCCTAACACTTTAAGATGGCTGAGATAGCTACTAGGGGGACATTCTGAGCTTTTGATTGGATATTCACATCATATATTGAACTAAGAGTATATATAAGGGATCATTTCATTGTTTGATTCATTACATGAGCGATATCTCAGCAAATAGAAAATATAAGACCTTCTTATTTTATATTCTAGCTTGTCAATATCGGTAATTTAAGTTCCTAATTTGTACGAAACTATAAACTTAGTATGTTTACATCACAAACGTCTAATTTGAACCAGGGCTACACTCAATATATCATATGACACATAAAAATCAATGTTTAACTGTGTTTTTTTATTATTTACTTTAAAAATTAAGAAATTAAA